ATATATATATATACATCATATAAACATGATATGATAGTTTCTGTAATATTAATCGTATATTTATACATAAGATAAACAACAGATAAACAACATTAGATCGAGATAAAACATAACTCACAATTTCGAATGACTACAAAATCCACATCGTATAGTTATACATAAGATAAACAATAAATGTGTACTTTACATGACATTTACAAAGTTCAACCAATAACTTTGCGCACTCCAAAAAACAACACAATATACTGTCTATAACTAATGTATAATTTGTGTATATGTTTACTACACTCTTTCGAACGGACATTTAAAGTGCGGACAGGTCTTGGCTACTTCAAACGAACTTCTCGCGACGAACAGTTAGGTTGCCACGTTGAACGACGGTCGACTCATGGACTGAGTCCTCAGCGGTGATGGCGGACGGGGCTGCTGTAAGAAACTCGACTCGACTGGGCCCGTGATGGCGGATTGTTCGCTCGGAGAACCGTCGACGGCTCATGGAAGGGCTGTTCGAAGGACGGCGTTACTGATCCTAGCTCGAGTTTTCCGGATGAAGGGGAGGAACGTGAAGTGGCGGCCGTCCGATTTGTATGGCCAAGTCTTCTTTTTCATATGACAGCGGATGTTGGCCCGGAGCCAGAGATTCGGCTTCGGTGTTTTTTGTTTATTAGAGAGGATTTTTTTTCCTGTATACAATGAACGAGATATGAGGAGAGAGAGAGAGGAATTGATTACTTTTCTTGCTTTACCGTTGAGGGTAGAAGCGGTGGATATGCACGTTCCCCGAAAATCATGCAAATTATTTCTTGTTTCTAAAACTGACTATAATATCTACCTTAATTAAATATAATTAAACACAATTAACAGTTAATGAGTCTCTAATTAACAACCTGACCTATTTAAATTGTGATAATTATTAAAGAACGTATTTATGATAAAAAGATTTTGTGCTCGTAAATTTAATATTATTTATGTATCTTGTTGTAAGGAGAGTAAATTTCTCTAATCTATTAAGCTTTATTGGTTTTTCATAAGCCGATAATTCATGTCATGTGCTATGAGCCCAAATCAAATAATAGTCGTGACTTATTCACTCCAATACACGTCATCTGTGAACAAGTCTCGAGGGGGCATTTGTAGACAAATAAATTTTGAGCCAATTAAATGGTGACAAGTGTCAAATTTAAATTCAATTTAATAATTTTCTATTTTATTTGTAAATTAATCATATTTTAATTCTTAAATTAAATAGTTAATTAATGATTATTTAATATATATTGTTGGCCAATGAAAGAATGCCACATTTATGTTTTGAAGGCCAATTAAAGAATGTCACGTGCCATTTTGTTGGAGAGTAAAATAAATAATTATTTCTTTGAATAATTATTAAAGAAATAAATATTGGAAATTCATTGACCAATCAAATTGAAGTCTTTATCTCTTTGAATAATTATTAAGAGATAAATATTAGAAATTTTTTACCAATTAAATTGAAGTCTTCTTTTTCAAGCCCCTCTCTCCTAACACCTATAAATAGGTCTCTCCCTTAGGTCAAAATCACAATTCATATTCACAATCCAAGTTCCAAGTTCAAGAGCTCTAGAGAATTCTCTCAACGAGATTGAAGTGTTCTTGAAGATCTAAAGATGTTCTTAAAGATCCGAAGGAACATTCAAGCACGTTCAAGTTCAAGACCAACGTTCAATCCGGAATCAAGCTGCCAAGCCTCTGAATTATGTTATTAAAGTCAAGACCGCGTAGAGAAGATCAAAATCAACATTGTAGCGAAGACCAAGGACTCGTGTTCTTCACGTTCTTGAGAAATCACGACGTTTAGATTCGAGATCAGACTATCAAACCCTCGAAGAAACGGTATTTAAATCCATATTCAAGATCGGCGGAGATCAAACTGATAATTCGTCTCCAAAAGACTCAAATCCATTTGAAGATCGTTCTTGAAGAAACTAAGCAAAGGAATAATATAGATTTGTAATCCACTATATTTCATTTGATTCGTTAAAATTATTTTGTACGAATTTCTCGTGTTTATTAATCCAATAATACGAAATTTGTGTTACAACATCGACATCTGACGTTTTGTAATCATATGTGTCTAATTCAGGTGTTTCGTATTACTATGTGTCATTTCTGTAGTTTCAAATTTGTTTGGATTCTGTCCATACTTATTAGAACTGTTAAATTATAAAATACTTTTTTTTTTTGGTCGAAACGATAAAATTTTTATATAAAAACGCACAAAAGTACAAAGTACAGCCACAAGCTGAATGTAGACAGCCAATAGCTGAATACAAGCCGCCAGCATCAGAATAAACTGGGAGGACAAGACCGAAATCCGCCTAGAACCGACCCCAACGGGGTAATACTCTGACACACAAACTAAACACAGACGAACCTAAAACTCCCAAGGGGAGAATGAAAAACAAACCAACAAAATGACCCCAACAGGGTAATGTCCGAGTGCACGGTCCCAAAAGGATAATAAAGTCGCACTCGGGCTAACTGAGGCCAACGGCCCAGACCTAAAACACTGAAGCAACAACACAACACACAAAAACAAAAACTACAAAAAGACAAAACCTAAACAATAACAAGAAGCCTCCCTCAGCAGAAGCGCCCGAAGAGACAGCAGACAAAGTTGGATCCGAAGAGAGCTCCAAAGCTCTAGAACGACGCCCGCCACTGCAGAAGGCCTAACAAGACGAAGACCAAAGACCCAGAGCAAACCAAAGAAACCCAACCCGCACACCGACCGCAAGAAATCACAATCGCCCCCCCCACCGGTTAACACCACTAGCCAATCCAAAACCATCCCAAAATTTCCTAACACCACTAGCCAACTTCGAAAACGAACGGCCTCCTACTAACTCAGAAGTCGAGAAATAAAAGGAAGGGGACGAACCGATCTCAGAGCTCTACGGCTCCGACCCTGCTCGCTGGAATAAGCCCCAGTCAACCATTTGCCCGCCCAGCCCACAAGCGCACGACCCGACCCGACACCCCAGCACAGCCGAGGAACCAGACATCGGACTCCAATTAAAAACCAAAGACCCAAAACCGGGGCGACCTGCCAGCCTGGCGGAAGAAGGAGCACCAACCAGGACTCGAAACCAATCTCCCCCTCCAGCTCCCGAGGACAAGCCGAAGCCTCCCGCCACCAAACTATAACGCTGGCTCAAAGAAAACCGGACTGAAGACTTCCAAATGCACTGCGAACGGAGCTGCAATCTTCGACAAGGACTGAAATGGGGGGACTGAACAGGGTCAACGCGACCATCCGAGCTGCGTCCAACCGCTGTAACCACACTCCGATAGCCTCCCCACTGCAGCGGCCAAAATCACAGATCAGCGGTGGCCGACGAAATCCACCGAGGACCTGCAATCGCACCTCCACAGCGAGAGAGGGAGGGATGAGGAGAGCCGCTACCAACGGCATGGACGCTCGGCGGTGAGCTGCCCACCGGCTAGCCAGATGACCGCCGAGAGAGGCTCAATACCGGCGACAATGGAAGCTAGGGTTTCGCGATTGAGGGATTTGGGGAGAATCGGGATTTGGGAGCACCTTGGCTAGATAAATAAATTATAAAATACTTGACTAACCTAAATTATGAATTTATTTAAAATAGAATAAATTTTATATTTTTATCAGTTTCTTATTTGTAATATATCAAATTGATTATAATTTGAAGTGTTTTTATTTTATGTCCATATTATATATGTAAAATAGACAAATAATTTTATTTTCTTCATTATAGAATAAAGTTATCTATTAACATTAATTTTAAAGAAATCATATATCATTAAAAATGTTATCTGTAAATTCATTACATGTTAACTAAAAAAAATGTTATTATACAATACGAGCAAATCATACAAGTGAAAATTCTAATTTTAAATGCAAATAATAATGGAAATTGTTAAAAAGAATTTGAAATTTAAATACAAAATCTTCTCTCTTAGAATAAAGTTTATTAGTACCCATGTAATCATAATTGTTATACTAGTTATTATCATGGTAATTTATTATGCGATTTCAAGGTGTTTGTTTTTACCAATAATACAATTAGCTATTTAAAAAAAACACTTAATGAGATAAAAATTAAAAGATAATAAGGATTTAAAAATTAATAATTTCAATAAAAGTTTTACAAAAATTTTTATAAGTGTGTAACTTCCACAATCTTTTTAATGCGTTAATGTTTCCTTTGTTTGTTATAAGATACAATATTAAGAGACTATTCTCTGATATGGGAGAACCCTCTTTCACGTTTGCTAAAAATCCTTCGCCGGCGTCGCTCCTATGATCTTTCACCGTTCGGCCTTCTTTAGCGGCGGCAGACTCGGGCATGCGGTCGTCCTCAACGGCTCGGCCCATCCTGGATGTTGTCTCGTCTCCGATGCCGCCGAAGACTAATGGATTGTTGCGACTCTCCTACTGCCGCTTTTGCTTTTTCAAGTGAAATCTGGTGGTCAGGTCGCCGGATTCTGTATTAGCGGTGGCGTAGGGAGGGACGAGGGCCAGTGGATGGGTCAGCGCTCTGGCGGTTGCGACGAATTTGTCGGGTTGGCCAGAGATTGGGACTTTGCACCTCCATATCGGAATCTTCGAATGCGACCGCCTCTGGCTTCTGGGACCGCCTTGGAGGTAAGTTTCCGTCTCTTGGCTATGTTGGGTTGCGATTGGAGCTGCTGGGATCCTATTGGTGGACTATGGTTTTCTGACAGGATTTTCGGTCTTTGGTCTCCGGCAGGTTTGTAGTTTGGAAAGGCGGAGTTGTGTAGCTATGGGTGGGGTCGTTGCTCTGGATGCCGAAGTGTTTTCAATGTCGGGGAGGCCGACGTCGAGTGGCCTAACCACCTTCACCGTTCTTCATTCGGCTAGTGGTGTTAGGCGACAGGGAATTGGGTCCTCTCGAGCTCAACTAGTGGTGTTAGACGGGTTTGTTTAGAGCTGGTGTGGGGGCTGGTTTCGATGTTCCTCCGGTTGGTGGCATGTCGATTTTCGTAGTTTAGTTCGTGTGCGGGTTTTGCTTTTTGTATAGGCCTTGTGGCAGTTTCGGAAGTGGTTCCCTTGATTTGAATTTTGCTTCGATATCGACCGTTCTCTGCTAGTTTGGTTCGTTGATCTGTTGTGGAAGGGCTCATTTTTCTCTTTGTTTTTGTGTTAGTTTTTTTCTGTGGTAATCTTGTGTTTTTAGTCTGGGCACTTTGCCTGAGTGCTTTTATTTTGGGCCGTTGGCCTCAGTTGTTGTCCTGTGTTTTATGGTTTGGGCCGTTGGCCCCTGTGAGCCCGAGTGTGACCTTATTATCCTGTTGGGATCCCATACTCGTGCATTATCTTGTTGGGTCTTTTTAGTTGTTTTAGTTTTAGTTTGTGTTTGGTAGTCGTGTAGTTGCACTACAACATAAATAGCTTTAGGTAGCACCACAAAAGTGATACATAAAAGTCATAAAATGTTACTATAGACAATAGATAACATAATTTTGTCGCTACAGTTGCTCGTGCTACCTATTGTCTTAGGTAACACTTTAAACAACATTTAGTAACACATTTGTTTTGTGTTACATTATATAATTAAGTGTAACACTTAAAAGCAACACTTATTAAATGTTATCTAAGATCTTTTATGTAGCACTATTACCAAATGCAACATTTTGTTGTAGCACTTTTTTTAATTAAAATGTAACATTTCTCATTCATTGTATCACATTTATCTTTATACTATAACACTTTTTATTAGCGTAGCATTTTCAAGTATAACATGTATCACACTTTTTATTCTAATGTCACACTTTCTCCATCAATAACACACACATTGTAGTAATTTGACTATTATTTAGCATTAATCTAAATATTTTGTAACAGAGTAAATTTTGTCAAATAAACAAATCATTATTAAATCTACAATTATGTCAACATACATAAAGCTTATAAAATGCTCTTTACCATCAACACCTAAAACAAAAATATTACCATTCCAAACATAGTTTGTCAAAATTAGATAAATGTCTTCGTATAGTTTATCATCACCATCGTCATCCCTTGTAAGCTCCAATCTGATCAATATATTGGAGTTCTAAGCCAATGAATGTGAATATACTCCTTCATATACTCCTTCATATACACCATCGTCCTGAAAAGAAGCATCTATTTAATATGTACACTTCATTACTATAGATCAAACTTTAACAGACAAAAGTTTTAACAAAAAATAAAAATAGAGTCTACAAATATGCAGTCATATGAAATTTCTTACTTCTACATGTTAAAGAAAAAATCAAATGAATACATAGGCCATACTAATGTAAACAAAAACTAAATGAACAAAAAAAAAAAAATAATATAACTAGTTTGATTATGGAAAAAGCACTCAAACACATGTTTGAAACCATGAATTGAATACAATTAGAATAGCTTTACTAATTATCATCAAATGACAAAAAGCTTAAAATCCATCTTACCTATGAATTTTCAGCAACTTCAAACAGCATTTGATTATATCCCAAAACAACTCTTAAGTAAAGCAATGCCTTCCTCTGTAGTGTTTGTAAGCTCGGTGATAGATGTTTTACAAACTGAAACCCTCACAGACAAAAAATAGTACAATTAAATTGTTTCCCAGCTTGAAGGTATCAGCATGTCAACTACAAGTTTAAGAGTACATATCATAACTATAAAACAGATTTGTGGTGCAATTTGCATACATGAGAGCATGCACATGTTTATCATTTCGAGTTTCATAACAATGCATCACAAATTCTAAAAGAGATGCTAGACATTTAAATAGAAGAAAATAGAGGGTGGCACATGAGCTGTTTCTGAAACACGATTAAACTATTTAAAAGAGTTCTGGTAAAATATGCCCTAACTTACGATGAGATGCAGTGGTCTGTGCTTCTGCTATAAACTCTTCATATGAAACCTAAAGAAATAACAAGATAGCCATCTAGACATAAGACAAGAGAACTAACCTTAATCATTTATCCCTCATAAAATACTACTCAAATAACTTCAATCGAAGCTGGAAATCTGGAGGAAAATCAATCACCCTTCCTGACATCATAAGACAAATAAATTTTATTTAGGTATATTTCCTCTTAAAAAGAATCATTGATAAAAAAATTGTCGAAATAATTAAAACCGGAAACTGCAACAAGCAGGATACAAAAGCATTAGAAATCAAAGTATAACTCCATGAATTTTACACTAATCAATCTGCTCCCATCAGAAAAGTTTCACCTGACCTGCTGGCATTATTTGTGAAAACTTGTATGTCCCATTCCCATATGAAAAACTATCAGCTTTGTAAAGTCAGATCAAGGTTGCTTACTTCAACTTGCTAGTGTAGCTTGCTTTGAATGCCCATTTATGCAATAAAACCTCCTTTGACTTCATAACCCTACATGTATCATCAAAGCATTAAATATGATCTATCATCAAAGCATTAAATATGTTCCTGGAGTTTTGACTGGCAAAGAATTGCATCAAACAACTGGTTTTCAGATAAAATAATTCAATCCTTACTCATTCGCATCAGATTCTTGTAAGTTCTGAGGAGAGTAGAATGTACAACAAAATTAGGTGAAAAGTTTTGTGCTAAGTTGCAAAGTAGCACCAGTCATACTTTGAGTCTTCAGTTTTCTATATTAGACTTCTTGTAAATTTCTAATTCTATTTTAATTGGATATAAAAGCACCTTTTCAAATAAGCCTCTCATCCTCTTTTAAGAAATTTTGAATAGTTTTCCATCGAACTTGGTCTCTAATTGAAGTTGAGGAACCCAGTTTATTCGACACTAAAGTGTGATGTTTACTTTAATATCTCATTTTTCTACTGTCTATTGTTCTCAACTATGTTCCAGAAAGAAGGATGTTCTTAACTGTTTTTGTGACCTAGGTTCTTTATTTGGTGCAAACTGAAAAAAAAATAAAAATAAAAGAAAGCCCTGCACAGAAAGAAAAATTATTTATATATATGAATAATGACAAAATAAGGCTTTCTTTAAGACCGCTCATCAAAAGAGCCAAGATAATGTTTGCTTTAAATAATAGCAGATTGTAACATGTCTTACGCCTGAACCTATGAAACAAAAGCCTGTTGTTGAGCCTTATAGGCGTTAAACCAGGATGTATCCGTCTTTCAACAACATGAAGATCCAAAATAGGCATATACAAGGGAAAAAAATTAAAATAAAAGACAACAATTCAACATAATTAATCAAAATAAATGAATTTCATAATAGTAAGAGTAAAGTTCATCCCACAAGGTTTAGGGAAACTGCATATAAACCACAAAGAAAATCCTCGCATTTGAAGACAAAACAAATGAATAACTGGATATATCTTAGTTCTGAAAGTTCTAAACTTACAGTTTCATGAACACACACACACACACACACACACACTGAGATGAACACACCCAAAGCCTCGGGATGCAGAGTTGTAGGCTTTAATGATATAAGGGTAAATAGCAAGATCAGTGTAGTCGCCTATAACTTGAGAAGCTCCAAACAAGAAGAAGGCGGCCTAAAACTTAACATGATCTTCTATGAAATCTAAAGACAAAACATCAAATTCTTACTACAGTTAGAACAACATCAGGACACACTAAACCCAAAAGAATGGGAAAAAAAAAAGAATATAGCAATAATCAAGCGCACATTTATGACCGAGCTCCATTTTCATAACCTCGATACCATTTTTTTCCTATTAGACATTTTGTCAAACACCTCGTGTACAACTATTCTCAACATATAAATACACTTCAAACATTATGATAGCAAACCTAAATCATCAGTAATGATCATCAAAGCTATTTTACATTCTCAGTTATGTCAATAATCAAGAATTCAAGATATTTATAATAGCAAATCTAAACCATCAAGCTATTAACCTCAGCAGATGAAGCGAAGAACAGATCCAATTTAAACTGAAGTTCTAATTAAGCTAATTCATAATCTCCAATAATAAACCAATTACCTATGGAGTCGACGAGCGATTTTGGAGGCTGGGCTGTGGGGAGGCGGCGACTGAGCCGAACTGTGGGGTTGCAACTTGCGACAGAGGCGAGGCTCTGGGGTTTGAGACTTGCGACGGAGGCGAGGTTGTGGGGTTGTAAAGCGGCAACTTAAGGAGGCTGAGGTGGAGGTGCTGAGGGGAGGCTGGGCGGCGTGAGATGTATGAAGGAGAACGGGCGTGAGAGGTGAACTGTTAATGGAAAGTGAGTCGTGAGAGCAGAGTGGATGAAAGAGAAGTCAACTGCGAACAAAACCTAGTATATTTTACTATTTTATTGTATATTATATTTTATTATTATATTGGACAAAAATATTGAATACAAATAATTTTACATCTAAAATATATGCATATATATTATCTTTTACGTCTCAATATATATATACACATCTATATATATAATTGCTAGCATGTAGCATTTAATAAAACCTATTTAATAAAACCTCTAACATTTTTCCCTCAATTTTCGGTTACAAAATTTAACATTAATATTTTTTACTTTTCACATTAATACATCATATTAAGTGTAATCATGTATTTTTCCTATTATATTATATAATAGTTATTGCTAATACCAACTAATAATAATTCACAATAAATATAAATTACCTAATTATAAACAATTGTTTCAAGTTATTTATATTAACATCAATATTATCTTGTCCGTTAAAAATAATTGTAATACTTTTCTAACTAATTAAATGTATGGTCCCTCTAGATTACTAATTTCATACGTAAGTTAAATAAATTTTATTTACATTATACAGTTGCATATAGTCAAACATTGAAATGTAATGCATCCATTATCTAATATAAAATTTTATATATTGTTGTACCGAAAAAAAAGTTTTATATATTGTATGCATACATATAATAAATAATTTTTTTTTTGTGCATATGCACAGGATAATACTAGTATATACTCACACTACCGTTTATTATTTAGGATATGATGAAGTTTTTCAAAATTTATAATACTATATTTTTTTCCTTAAAAAAATCACCATTTTATTATATTTTAATAAAGACATTTCGACATTTTTAATAAATATAGTCTTATTAAACTAAAAGGTGGTTCACTCATGTCAACTTGTCGGTTTGCACCGTGTTGTAAAATGGTAGTCTCAATATACTTTTTTGTTATATTTAAATTTGTGTCATATGTTTTCTAAAAAAAGAAAAAAAAAATGTTATATGTAGAATATTGAATGATAAAAATGTTACCAAAATGTGCTACAAAAATATGACAAAAAACAATTGTTACTTAAAGAGTGTTACTTAATTCAAAGTGTTACAAAAAAGTATTACATTTTTGTAAAATGTTACAAAAGTGTTACATCAATATTTATAAATTTTATAATGTCAAAAGTGTTACAATAATGTGATACATAAACTAAAAATTCATAAAGTATTACAACAACAATGTTACCAAAAGCATTTTATGTTGTAGTGTTGGTTAGTTTAGTTGCGAGTGTTTTTATTCTAGCGTTGCTGGTCGAGATTCTCGGCGATCTTCTGACCCATGTCCTCCCACTTTTTCAACTGTTGGCTGCTGTGTATTTTCACATTTGTGCATTTTTATTTATATTATTATCTATCGTTTTGGAAAAAAAAAATAAGATACAATATTAAAAAAATATTATTATACTTTATTAATGTAAAATATAATCATTATTTTTTATATAATTTGAAAAAAAAAGAGGGGAAATAACATTAATTAATAGCTCACAGTTATATATGTAGATTTCTTCTATTAAAAAATAAATGCAGCCCAGGTCATTTCTTTACTGACACGTGATTTAAGATAGGAAAATGTTACGATCTTGTTACGGAACCATTCTGTCGGGATTTGTAACGACTGTTAGATCATCATGTTACCGTCAGACGGAACCATACCATCTCCCTTTATGATATGTTTTACCTTTCCGCTTTTAATATAGTATTAAATAATCCTCCAACAAAACATATTTAGGCCACGACCATAAACGTGTTAATTACACACATAATATTATGATGTAAAAATTTGTTTTATGGACGAAGATAAAGGTATTGTTTGTGCGATTGTATACATTGTACAGGGCCGCTTTACATTAGTACAAGTGATCTAAATTCAATCCACATGAATCTCGCTTCCACCAATTTAATTAGGAAAGACGAAAATTATAAAAAATAATAATAATTAATAAAAATAAAAGTATAAAATGGTGTGTGTGTGTGTGTGTGTGTGTGTGTGTGTGTTTGCTTCATAAAATTCGTAACTTGGCAACTTTGTTGATAAATGTCCGGCATATTGGACAGCTCTTGATTTCTCCCCTTATAATCCTGCATAATTAATAATTTAAAACCAACTCAAAAAAAAAAAAGATTTAAAAATAAAAATAAATTATTACATTTATAGTATAAATATGCATTTCTATTTAAAAAAATAGAATAGGTCGACCCGCCTAACTAAAACGGTAAAACTTATGTACAGTATAATTGTTAGTAGTTAAGGATTTTTGTTTTTATGAAGAAGTTAAAGGATTAATTTTACCTCTTGGCACAAGGGATGCAGGAAATACAGTGTCCACATGGAACAAAGAAGCAATTCCTTCGATGGTCGTAGCATATCACACATATCTTTACATCGTACAAATCCTCGGACGATGAACTGCAATTCCTTAATTTTCCGGATTCTAATAAATCCTCTTCGTCACTGTTATTGATGGTTCCATAAGATGAGCAACTGGAGAAAGTCCTCTCCTCTGATGATGACGATAATAATAATCTGCTGCTCTCAGTTGATAGCGGCACATTCTGTCCATCGGTAGCCCTAATATTGTCTCGATTGATATTCCTCATTAGTTTCATGATAAGCGCGATTACCATGACGAGTACAGCTGAAAATTTGATTTTTTGGAAAAAAAAAAAAGAAATCGTCAGTTTGAACTTTTACTACGTACGATCCCATGAATTTTGATTTCACTTAATGTTATTTCATTGAGTATTCATAATGTTTTAAATTCAATTTTATCAAGTTTGCATTCAACATGGTTCGAATATTGTACTTGTAAGCACTATTTACCTTCAATTTTTTTTTTATTTATCGAATATTGAATAAGGGTAATTTATCTATGTACTATTAAGTAAATTCTCAAGATATATGCAAATTATAAAAATAAAAAAATAAATAAATAACTACTAAAAAAGATTCTCTCCCGTCATTCACGTACTATGTTAGGTTAAAATAATAATTCACAACCGATATAATGCTACCAATCAAATATTTGTCATGTCCCTATCATTTTGTACCCGTGATCTATGAACAAAATACGTATAATAATAATAATAATAATAATAATAATAATAATAATAATAATAATAATAATAATAATAATAATAATAATAATAATAATAATAATAATAATAATAATATAATTTAATAATAATAATAATTGTTATATATATATATATATATATTAATGTTTCGTACTATTATTAATTTATACAAATTCAAGATTAGAATGTCGGCCAAATGAAATGTACACGTTACCTATTATTGCGTATAACACAAAATCCGTTGTAAAGTCAAGTGAAAACTCGCTTTCATGGCCATCATTATCCTGCAACAGTAATTAATCAATTAATTTTTCTCTAATTACTTTTTTAATTAAGTTAATCAAACTAACCATTAGGATAAACTTTTAATTAGTATCTAGCTTTGCTTCTAAGGAAAGGAACGAATAAAGTATATCGCGCAGAGTAATCAGACATATTAATTGAAATAAAAATATTTATTTATTTTATTAACAAATATTACCTCCTATTCTTTTTAAAAGTCATTTTAGTATTATCAATTAAAAAAATAAATATCGTTTTGGATACTTTTTACATATTTTTCCATTATTATCTTAATTTAACTAATAAATACACTACGTCTTTTCATATTCACTATTCATCTTTTCTCAAAACATCCATCTCTATCCTTATTAATGAGGATTATTATTGGCAAAAAAAGTATTTTTAATAACTGTGCAACTTCTCAAAACGACACTTATTAGGAATATGAGGGAGTATACGAGAGCAATTTTTTTATTATTTTTTTTTCGTACATTGTTGTTTAGTACGATGATGGCTGCATATTCATGCCTTGGATTTGCTGTCCAAGTTCTCATCATCAATGCTTGGCGTTTAATTTTTCTCTGGATTAATTTCTGAAATTAAAAAAAAAAAAGGAGAAGAAGAAGAAGAAGAAAGAAGGGCAAGTCATAGAGTGGAAAAAAACTTAATTTAATAAAATTAATTTTCCTAATATAGGAAAAAAAATATAATATATAGACTCCAATTTATTTTTTTTTTAATTGGAATTACCAATATATATCATCAACTACCTAAAATAAATATTTTTTCTTTAAATTTTCAAACATAAAAAATATTTTTTTCCGCAAGAGGAACCCATTTTTTTGTTTGTTTCTTATATTTAACTGCTAAAATTTGATGGTAATTTTGCGTAATAATAACACTGATGAAATGTAAGAGAAGTTACATTACCTCGTGATTATGTGTCTTTGTTCTTTTTCCACTCGGATTTTCTTGCTTCCAGAATTCTAACTCAACTTAAAAATAACTCGCGAAAGCCCGATTTTAGCTAAAATCGCCGGTGCAAAAATGGGAGCTTTCGATTTTTTTTATTTTTTTTTTTGGTTTGTTTATGGAGAAAGTTGGGTTTGAAGATGGTTTTTGGAGGGCGAGCTTCGTGCTAGCTTTTACGATGATACGATAGACTTATGTTGTTTTCATGTATTTATTTGTTGTCATGACTAAACACAGGAAAACACGGACTTTCGGACACCACAATTAATGAAGAAAATAAATGCGTAATTATGAGAACGTGGCGGTGTGTGGTAGCGTGCTTTGATAGCCTATTGGCGTGTAATTAGTTACTAAAACGAACAAGGCAAACAGTGCCTTAAAAAATTGAATCCAAAGTCAAGATTTGGTGAAGGGAGAAAAGGTCAAAGGTCCGAATTTGGGTTGTGATTCTTGAAGACAATGGATTGGTGGTAATTTGTAGGGCTGCACATTCGTTTAAAACCGAACCGAACCGACCGAATTTTCGGTTAACCGAAAATTCGGTTTGCCCATTATCATAACCGAAAACCGAACCGAAATTTACGGTTCGGTTCGGTTTTTAACCGAAAATTCAACGGTCGGTTCGGTTCGGTTTTCGGTTATTCGCAATAAATAATTAATATTATTGCTAAATTTTGAATATTTAACCAAATAAAAAATTGATGTTTTATACCTACAAAAACTAATACTAATTTTTTATTACCTTATTTAATATTCTCAACAAATTCTAAATTATGCTCAAAGGAAGATTTCGGACCCGAACCGTAACTTGGAGACTATGATGAAACCAATTTTGAGTGCAAATTAAAGCTTGAGCAATTTTAGGCGTCAATGAAGCTTGAAAATCATCAATCATTGAAGCAAATTAATTTATAACTTGTATGTATAAATAAAAAACATGTATATATATTAAATGAATCGGTTTTCGGTTCGGTTCGGTTAACCGGTCACAGTTATCCAAACCGAACCGAAAACCGAAATTTTAGAAAAATGTGAACCGAAAACCGAACCAAATAATCGGTTTCGGTTTCGGTCCAAACCGAATTTTCGGTTTCGGTCGGTTCGGCTCGGTTAACCGAACTTTGTGCACCCCTAGTAATTTGGTGGTGTATCTAAGTCAGCACTCAAGGATAATTTCAAAACTGGTCCGATAATTTGGCCACAGTCCAAAAAATCACTCCGGTATTGACCACTTTTAAATTGGTCCTATAATTTCAAAATTTGGTCATTCTTTAATCACATTTTAATCAATGTTCCAGATAAAAATGACTAAATTTGATTAAATTTTAAAATTATATGACCAATTTTAAAAGTGTTCAATATCAGAGTAGTTTTTGGACTGTGACCAAATTATATGACCAGTTTCGAAATTATGCCCAGAATTTTCTCGTGTTCAAGATTTGTTAAGCTTTAGTATAATATGTCACCATTGACTTTTTTTTCCCCAAGCAAAACAAGGTGACATGCCTTAAATTGACACGTTTCGAATCTTGTCACGAGTATTTCTCTTTCTTATTTTAATTTTTGATTGTTTGCAAGTATTTAGTACAAATCTATTATTATATAAAGAGACAACATAAATAATTCAAAAATAGTAACTAAAAAATCATCTAAATTCCCGCCTAAATATATTACTATACATAATAAATTATTTTGAAATTTTTCAAAAGCTCCGCCCAAACAAATTTGAATTTTGTTTTGTAAAAAATTTGAATCCAAACATTTTGAAAAAAGATTCATCTTTATCCTAACATCCTTATATTTAGCTACCTTCTACATTACCATGGTCAACGAAAACGTTTCGGTTTACAATATATTATATTAAGTTTAATTGGATACAATAAAGTGAATTAATTTTGAAAAAAAAAAAAGAAAATTGATTGAATTTGGTTGGGTGGTATTTTGAGTTTGTATCAAAATAATATTTCAAATATAATTATTAAAGTTAATGTGATATAAATGTAACAAATAAGTGACTAAAGTGAAGAAAAATTTAGTGGATGAATAGTGAATTAGAATTAATGTCATGAGAATAATTAGTTGATATCATTTAATTAGACTGATAATATTGATAATAGTTAGGTTAAATTAAATTTAAGTTAGATTTTGAGTTAAAAAAATTATATAATTAGTCATAATTGAATATTACATATCCAATCAGTCCCATAACGATACGAGAATTTTCATTCGAAAAAAAATAAAATCAAATATACGTATAAACATTATTAATAATTACATCATGCAAAACTTATAATTATAACATGTAGAGTAAACAAATACTTAAATATAAGTATTAGCCACAATTATATTATTTTAGAACAAAATGATAATGTTATTTTATAACACTAATATAATACTCTATCGTTTCGGAAAAAAAAAACACTAATATAATACTCTGTACTACACGGGTACTTAAATATGTTAATATTTGTTTAATAAAACTTAAAATAATTTACATTTTAATTTTGTGAAGTTATGTATGATGAATATGCAACTATAATAAATAACTAACAAATTGATAATTAATTAAAATGGTGCCCGTATTTTACACTAAATTTGTCAAAAAGATAACTTTAATTATACTTTCAAAAATATTCACGTATAAAAACTAATATTATTTATAACTTCATATATTTTATTCATTTGTTTTTTAAATAAAACAATTTTTAGTGTATTGTGATATTATATTTATATTTATAGAGTCAGTATCTCACGTTTATTAATTTTCAAGTATTTTAAATTCATATACTTAATAATTTAGGACTTACGTAAAAATGTATTATTTTCTAACTTTACAAAATACAAAATTACGCTATATATTTAATTATGATATTCTTTTATATTTAATGTTTTAAATAATATAAAATATTTAAATTGAGAAATAATATTTTATAATATTTTAAAAATTAATTTTATGTAATTTTATCCAAAATTTATGAAAACACTTTAAAATTATTATTTTATGGTGTATTAATGAATTAAAATTTTATTATCTATCTATTAATATATAAAAAATAATGATATTTATTTGAAATAGCAACTAAAAATCAACAAAAAAATATTTGATATTCCGACTATTTGATATTTATGAAAAAACAATAGCAACTAATTAATGTACAAAATCATTTTGGTCAAATATTGCAGCTATTACCTTTATTAATTGCATGATTTTAATTTAGAATATAATATATTGACAAAACTTGCATCTATTACCTTTATTAGTTGAATGGTTTAAATTTAGTATATAATATATTGAAGAAAACTAAAAAGATTTTTATTTACAATAAAAAATAAAAAAGTAATTGTTCATAATTTTCGGGTCAATATTAACTTTGACGTAAACGAAATAGTCAATTATTTATAGTTTAATAAATTACTAATTAATTTATAGGTCAATATTAAATTAGACGCAAACGAAATAGCCAATTATTTATAGTTTAATATATTACTCAACTACTTATTTTTTTTATTTGAATAGACAAAAATAGATTATTTTAATTAATGAAATAATAAAATTTATATCAATACTTATATTCACATAGGTTGTTAAATTAATGATAATTTTTTACCAAAATAACTATTTTATGGAATTACATTATAGTCCAATCGAGTTTATGAACAAAAAAATTGAAATGATACTTATTTTGAAGCGAGTATAATGTGATTTATTATCATTATGTGCACCACACGAGTTGTGTATTAATTTTAAATAAATATTTTTATGTAATTTTGTACAATTAAACTTTATATAACATTTTCAATAAATTGTAATAGGTAATTGATTCCATTTTTTAATTTATAAATATTATAATAAGAATTTTTAATTTATAAATATTAGTTAATATCTCTTACCCGTGCATTGCACGGGACTCATACTAGTTCTAGAGCAAAACGTGGTGAGAGTAAAAATGTAGAATGTGAGTGTAACAACAAATTTCGTGAATTGAATTTTAAAAACACGAAAAATATTATTCAAATAAGTTTCTCGAATCAAAATAAATATAGCGGGTTACAATCTCTATTTTTTTCTCTGATTCTTCTCACAAACAAAATTTTAAGTCTTGGAGCAAAATCTTCGGCTTGATCTTCTCCTTGACTTGATTTGACTTGAATTAACGTAATCCGAGGGCTTGAAAGCTTTTTCCCGGATCAAACGTCAAAATATCCCAAGAACGCGAAGAACACGAATCCTTGGTCTTCGCCGCAAAGTAGATCTCGAATCTTCTTCACGCCGGTTTTGAATTTACTAACGTTATTCGGAGGCTTCGCAGCTTGTTTCCGGATTGAACGCTAGTCTTGAGGTTGAACGCGCTTGAATCTTTCTTTGAATCTTCAAGAACGCCTTTAAATCTTCAAGAACACTTGAATCTCGTCGAGAGACCTTGATCTTGAACTTGAATATAAACGCAATTCGGAGGCTTGACAGCTTGTTTCCGGATTAAACGTCAATGTTGAGCTTGAATGTGCTTGAATCTTCCTTCGAATCTTCAAGAACGGTTTCGAATCTTCAAGAACACTTGAAACTTGTAGAGAGAATTCTCTAGAG